TGCCTATCTCGTTTACAATTGTCACATTATAAATTATATGGCAAATTATTTTTTAAAAAATATTTACACAACGAAATATTAATACTTTTTATACGAGTATTTACAGCAAATATGTTAAATGAATTTGTAAACAAAAAAATGTGTTATTCTACGAAATAGTTTAGAATTTATTAGAATATAATGTAGTACGAGTAATACACATATATAACATATATACTATATAGCACAATGAATGCAAATACAGAAATATCTATGCGGTCACAGGCAAAATTTTTCTTCAAGATATCCATTCCAAAGCATTTAAGAAATTAAGTTTCAATGCCACTTTTTTCTTATTAAAATAAAAATAATAAAAATAATAAAAATAATAAAACTTGAGTCACGAAATATGTATCTTGTGATTTAATTAAATAATTAAAAAAGTTGCAAGTGTTGCAGTTATTTTATTTTTAGTTTACAATCGCGATTTGTTCATTCTTTCAATTGTTGGGAAGACTATTGGAAAAATAATTGAAATAAAATCATTGGTAAAATCACATGAAATCCCTTGAAGAATCAATTCAGATTGAAATAACAGCAGTTAATTAAACTGAATTAGTTTTAATTTAACAGAAAAGAAATACACAATACTATAAAAGATATTAACATTTGGACTATATTCAAGAAAACACAAAGGTAGTCCATAAAACGTCATTAAAGACCGAGTAATCACATCAACCCACTTGGCGTAATTACACCCAACGAAACTAAATAGGCACCACATTTTTAAACTCAGAGTATTGTAATTAAATTAAACTCTTAACTTAAGCTTTAATTATTTAATTAAAAAAAATAGTTAATTTTGATTTTCACAATAAATACAGCTAAAGCAAAACATAAAATAAGTTAAATCGGAATTTGTATATCAAATATTCGAAATTATCTTCAAGGTTCGAATTTTATCGAGAGATTTATGATCTATATTTGTTGTTATGTAAAACCTCTATCAACGTCGGAGGAGTCTATTCAACACATACCATAAACTCATAAAGGAATACTTTTTTATGTCTAACAAACAGAAAGAGAAAAGTGACCCTCTTTTACCTAAAGATAGCCATTTCGTTGTACTGATTGAAAAGTACTGTTTCAGTGATATATGTCAAAGAGATCTGTCCTCTAAGGCATCATATATTTAATTAAAGGATTGATATTTTACAACATCATTTAACAAGTCTATTTTAATTGTATTAAGTTTACAATTTAACTATTTAATTATTATTATTGTTTATTAACTATTATACAAATATTCCTCAGTGATGAGACCCATTTTTCGTTCAGTGGTTATGTCAACATAGAAAATTGTCGGATCTGTTGCAGTGAAAACGCCCAACGAACTGTCAAAAGACTATTACATTCATATTAATCCACAGTTTGATAAAGCGTTTGGTCTGAAAATGTGATAGACCTGTGTGTTTTTGAAAAAGAACAACATTTGACACAAATCGTAAATCTGGTAGCTACAGTCACATGATTATCATTTCTTTTTTCAGTGTTAAATTGCAGATATGGTTTGAAAAAATGTGTTTTTAAAAGGACGATAAGTCTTAAACCCTTGTTTAAACTTCTTGTTTTAGCTTTATTCGGTGAAAAATTTAACGAACATGTTGTTTAATGCTTTGGGGATCTGATTTTGGGATCACTAAGATCTTACGATTTGTCACTACTGATCTTTTTTTGTGATATATGCAAAGTTTCCGGTTTAGATATGTATATCTCTTGATGCTATTAAAACGAAAATCCGACCAATTATTGTCGAGAACGAGTTCTCTCCTACTTATGTACTACCAAGTTGTCAAAAATTACCTTAAAAGAAATCAGTACTGTAAGATGTCCCGTGGAGAACATTTGATATGATAATACATCATGATAAGATAATATATGATGATATGATAATATATGATGATATGTTAATATGATAACATATAATATTTCATAACATGATAATAATTTCATGATGAATGATAAAATATTTCACACCTTATGGCAAAGCCCAATCAATGAACTCAAACATTTAATAGAAACCTCAATCACAAGCGTGTTTTATATACTTTAATCGTTAGAACTAGAAAATGGAAAACGCTATATATAGCATAAAACTACTTTTATTCTATATATATAAACTCTTTCCATAAGAAATTTGACATGTTGATAATTATATATACAATTTATTTCAGTTAAGCTTATATTTTATACAAGTATATCAACTGAACAAAATACCGAAGTAAAGAACTGTACACAATTTTTAACATATAGATTATCAATTTATATATGTATATATATATGTATGTCTCTTAGGTAAAAGCAGTAAAGAGAGTTAATATGTATTTCTTTATTTATATATAATCAAACAAGATGCGTAATATAATATTTTCAAACAGTTGTGTGACCATATTGAATATCAGTGCCTAATCGAGCATTAAATATTGCAACTAGATACTCTATCTATGGCCAAGTAGAATGTGTTTATTTAGTTGAAATAAAATGCTCGTAAATATTTGTGAAAAATAAAAAAAATATTGATACATAATTCAAATAAAAAAAAACATCAAACTCATTTATGTTCTTTATAGTAATAGCAAGTTTTGAGTTGTTGTTTTCATATCATATATCACGTTCTTGCAAATTCCTTATTTCTTCAAAAGCAAAAGCATATTCTTTTATTATTTATAGATTATTTGGGGAACGCATTTTAATGGTATTGCCCCTTTCTAATATCTTCTACTCAACGAATTACTTGACATGACTTCCCTACTCGTTTAAACTACTTACTAATTCCAATATGAATAAGTAAGCTCATTACGGTGATCTCATAGGATAGCTGTGGTGATTCATGTTAAGATTTGTTAATTATTAGATGAACTAATTGAAAAGTTATCACAATAAAACAATAATATTTTTAAATAAAGAGAAAAGTTAGCTACGACTCATCATTAACATTGTTTTCATATAAGCAGTTTACCCTCAATTAAAAATTTATAATCAATAGATTTAAACATTTAAACCAAAATGGAAAGCCTATACCATATAATCCCTCACTGTTTCAAAATATTAATGAAGTCCTACAGAATAGCTTATGACGCTTTAGTTAAGTTTCAAAGTCAATCAGCGGCCGAAAGACAAGAATCTGCTATCTACCATTATTCGATTAGCAACATTTATTTGTTGCTTACAACCACTTTTCAAACACAACAACCTTAGCGCGAAGAACAGAAAACTGATCTATAACCAGATAATTAGACTAGCATTACTGTATGGGTGTGTCGCATATAGCAAAGCTGTCGACTCTACTAAACAAAAGCTACAAGTTTCTCAAAGTCAGGCTCTCCAAAAGCTCTTCAAAGCGCCTTCGTACATCCGCACAAACGACATGCTAAGAGACCTTAGAATAGACCCTATCAAAAAATACATAAGGAACAGAGCCCTGAAGTTATATGTGAAAACTGACAGGCTATCCTACTTACCACTATCTAATCTTAGAGTAATCACTCTCCGCACGGGGAGGTACGCAGATCTTAGATCAATCACTAAATAATCATTAAGCTTATAGGGAATACATAAATTAGTCAATGAGTTGGGTGGGACCCTATAGTACCCCCAGCTATCAAAGAGAAAAAGTGCCCAGTTGCGCTGAATCGAAAAAAGGATCAACATACTGTTGTGGGTGATCTTCACAATCCTCTTTTAAGATGAATTCCACTAAATGAAAAAAAATGTTTTTATAGTTTGACCAAATAGTCTATTTTTCCAAATTTGGCGGCTGAGGAACTGAACTCAAGTCATACTTCATTCTTTATAGAATTTACAATATTTTATTATAATCACATAAACTTATGCGTTTCTTATATTAACCTTTATTAGATTATAACTTTGTGTGAAAGATATTTAAGATTGGGTCAAGTAAAGCTAACTTATTTGCTTGTGAAGAATATTCATCCCCAATTGATATAGTCTGGAACCATAACAATAAGAGTTTAAATTTCATGCACAATAAAATTGTTATGGAATCATCACATTTTATTGTAGAAATTGGCAGTGACAAATAATTATTAATTAAAATTTTTGACACACATTTTTACAAAAAAACAAAAACAATAAACACTTTCTGAAATTGAACAATCCGACGACTGCATCACAAAGCATCAAAATTATTTAATTGCACTTTAAATGCAAATTAATGCATCATAAAATGAGCCAAGAACGATCGTTCCAGTAGAATGGCGATCTTTGTTAAAATTTTTAAAAATTTTGCCTTTGAATTTATGCACTACATATATGTATATATGTCTACATATATACTTTATATATAGCTTATATGAATATGCATATATGAGTGTGATTTTGAGTGAATAAAACTTTACAATTTTTTGAAATCGTTGTTCACCGCAGAGGCAGACCTGTTCCACTTTTTGGTCAAGAACTTGCGTCCACTCACAATTTCCGATACTTGCTTGCAGTTTGCGTTTCCTGTAATTTTCTTGTTATTGTCTTATAAATTTTTTTATTTTATTTTTCTTTATTATCATTTATATATTTTCCAATTTTTTTTTTTATTTTTATTTTAATTTTCAATGCAATACAATAATTATCGATACATATTGCAATAAACAAAGAAAGACGTCGTAGCCAAGAACACAAGCCAAAGACCGTAAAACACTGTATCTTCATATAGTATATATGTATGTGCGTTGGACAAGCGGTATGTCACACCCGATCGGATATTATCATTTATTTATTTATTTATTTATTATTTTTTCCTTAATAAGTTTTAAACTTGGTATCCGGCCGAGTACAGAAAGACTACAGAACGATTCTTTCATATTTCCACAAATTCACGGTTGACGATTGTGATGTCTACGCGACTTTTATGATTTTTCACCACGCCGTGTTTTATTTTTTAAATTTAACTTTTATTCCAAAGAGAAACTAATATTTTTTTTAACTTCTGGCTGAAATATACATACATATATGGTTGTTCGGTAACACTATGTACAACTTCTGGTACATAAATATGTTGAAGTATTACAAAGAGTTAGGAGTGCGCGAAGTCACGCGTGCGTACACCACAAAATCACAACCGGGTATGAATTGTCCGACAAGTATACGGCAAGTAAACGGCGAGGCAAGACTAAAAAAATGGAATAAAAAACCGATTCTGAATCAGCAACAATAACAAAAATATGAAAAAGAAAACTAAAGACTACTAGGCTGGCTTTGTAGAACATTGCGACGTTTTGCAGCGGTTAGCGATGAGCAAGTACATAAGAAACTCTATACGAACAACAACTGGCAAACAACTGCTTAGCAGACAGATAAACCGGCGGAAAGGCAAGCGGACATAAAGACACATAGACGACTACTCAGCGGTAACTTTAGCAACAACGATTTAATTGTACAATACACAAAAATAAAATAAAATAAAAAAAACTGTGCAGATACCCAACCATTGAATGTGGCAGTTAACGATTGCAACAACAACAACAACAGCAACAACAACAACGAGAAACAAACCACGGTTGCGAATAATATGTATAACTAATACAGGGGCGATCCACATATGCAGCAAACCGCTACATGTGTTTTACAGATATGCTTTATAAATTATAAAAAATATTAGCAAAATAAAATTATTAGTAAAAAAATTTAAAATAAAAAAATTTTATAAACCAAACCTTATAACATACATAAGATCAGAAGACGAATAGAAAAGACAATTCCTCTACATCATTTAAGTTAGATATTGATAATATGCCTATTATTATTATGATTTTATAGATATTATTATGCTTTAATAAAATACAAATTAAAAAACAACAGCCAAAGTGACAGCTACTAAAATAAAAGTATGATATACTAACTAACTCGGAACAAGAAAGCAAACAAATAAGCATATAAAGACACATAGACGACTAATCAGCGATAACTTTAGAAGTGAGAAAACAGGCAAGGGTGTAGACACAGACGACTAGTCAGTGATAATTTCAAAAGTGACTATACTATAGAAGTGACTTTTTTGAAAACAAAAAAAATGCAGATAAGAGCCATGTTATGTATAGTTTCATGGGCTCGTCAAAATTGGCTCTTTTAGATTTTGACAAAAAAGCATGCTATGTAGAGTGTCACAGAAAACACAAATATTAACATTTATTACTGAATAACACTTTATCACTTAGATAAAGTGATGTGGCACAGATATCCTCGGTTGTCATGACCAAATTTGAACCGACATATTATTTTTTTTCTCACTCTCACTTTTATAATTTGCATTTAAAACATTGCTTAGAAGCAGACGAGCCTTCCAATCACATTCTCTGTGACTGCCCAGCCTTGATTTGGGCCAGGAGGAGATTATTGGATCGAGAACTATTTTCCCTTTCTTTTACTTCCTTTTACTTCCCTTCCTGACCCTTAGAACTACTTTTCCGTCTGAAAGACGGAATGTCTTCTGTTCGGTTAGGGTCTGTTGCAGCACAAAAGATCAATAATGGTCGCAGTGCTCCGCTCTGTTGGGAGCTAGTACCTTATTTATTCCTATTCTATCCTAACAACAGTTTTGCTCATGACGAGCCCATGACACTTTACATAAAATGGTCCTAAGATAAATCTACGGAAAAGTAGATAAGGATATAACAACACCAAAGCTTTATAATATTATACATATACATAATATGTATAAAAATAATTAATTTAATTTAAGTCAGATGTTGATAAACTATTAATTATATTACGGCCTTATATGGTAGATATTATTACGTTATAATGAAATACAAATCAAAAAGCAACAGCCAAAGTACCTGCTAACAACACTAAAACTTAAGAATAGAGAAAATTATGGGCTAGCTAACACAGAACAAGAAAGAAAATAGAAATATGGACTCAGATAATAAAGTGAAAAGCAGTTAAGAACATAAACTCTAGCTAGTGATATAAGACGATTAGCCAGTGATAACTTTGGAAATAACGATTTGATTTTACACAACAAAAAAATTTTAATTAATTAATTATAGCATAAGCAACAACAGTAATCAACAGAAATCAGAAGAAACCACGATTTGTACTAAAAACAGATTGAAAAATAAAGAGAAATTCTTCAATTCACATTCTCAGGTAATTAAAGCACATAATAAAAATGTCACATATCACATATGAACGCTCTACAAAAGAAAATTCTTTACAAATACGAAGTAAACCTCTTCACATCACTCTGGGGAGCAGTCAACTTAGCTCACAAGTATCGTTTTAGTTTATAAATTAATAAATATTTTCATATTATTTATATTTTACTTTAATGCTGCAATCTCACTGTACTCAACTGTCATGTTACAAATGGGTCATATTCCCACGATGTTGTAAACGTGATGTCTGGAGATTAACTATTCTCAGGTTTATAGTTGTTATCAGCAATTATTTAATAATAGAATCAATTGCCAGGACTTAATATATAAAAATAAAAGAATCGATATGCCAGCTAAAAGCATTAAAAAATTAAAGCCGAAAATAATTGATCAAATGTGTCAACTAACAGCACTAAAAAACCAAAAACAAATAAAAAGGGGAAGTAAGCTATAGAAAAAATGTTTATTTATATTAATAAAGAGATTAATGTTAAACGAAAATAAAATTTGATGTTTACAGTAGAAAATACGGAGAAAAATAGTAATTAATCTATATTCCCCCTATATAGAAGAGTAAAAAGAGTGTTTAAAGATAAATAAGAAAAATTTATAAATGTAACTTGCTTTTTTATGACAAAAAGGAAAAAATGCATTTTTATTTGTATGATGTCTAAGCTTTATTAGGTTCGATAAGACTGGTTACTACCAAAATGCCATCCTTAGGAATATCAATTGGATTCGGAACTGATAGAGTTCTAGTGTTATTGCGGGTTAAATTCGTGTAATGAATTTGAAAATTTTTTTTTTCTCAACGGCTTCTCATCGGCTTTGTTTACATCCATAGTTTGTCTAAATTTTTTAATTTAAAAACTGGCTTTTGAGCACCAATCATTATCATATTCCCTTTTGAGGGACATCGATTAAACAATTAGTATTATTTTTTTTTTAAACTATAACTGACGGATAAATTAAACCCTTTTTTATTAAATCTTTTCATATTATGTACTACTAAATATAAGACCTATTAAAGTTGTTTTTAAACGGTAACATATTTTCAAATTCCCAATGCCGTGAAAATCTCTTAAAAAACTAGACTAAAATGTTAAATTTTTTTTTGAAACTCCTAATGAAAAAAGATTTTAATACCAATTTTTTATTTCTAACTCCCATTATAACTATTTAAAAGAACCTTATTAGGAAATTATTCTTTAGTATCTATATGCTATAATCAACTATAATACAGTTTAGATGCTCTAATATTTCTGTACATATATCTCGTTTAATTATATTTTAATAATATATAATTAATACCGTCTCTTCAAGATCCAAACAAGTTTAGATCAGTTTCATTCCACCACTGGCACAAATTTCAGACAACTCCTTATCAGCCTCATTAAGGTTATAAACGCGTTTTTGGTTTTATTTCATCTTTGTCATGATGCTTTTACAAAAACCATGTTTAGTTTCCTTTTTGACCAAAGATATAAATAAAATATGCAATAAAATTATATGTATGTATTTATGTGAGATACACATTTTAGAGCTACACGGCCTTGTCATTTGTTGTTATTTTTGGTCTGCTTAACACGCTGAACGACTAAATGAACTGAATGAGTTATGGTCAAGGAATCGAAGAATCGAAACTTGTTAGGAAAAGTTAAGAAGGAGCGAAAAAAAACTTGAAGTAAACACATAACAGTTGGGCTTCATAGACATATTTTGCACTATACAATAGGAGAAATATTGTATATATAAAAGAACAGTCAAATATTGCAGTTAGAACTAAATAAAATCTGCTTAACTATATTTGATTAAAAGATTTACTCATATAAAGTGTAATCAAAAAGTAACAAGACATTTTTAAATTTAAAACTTTAATAATTTTTAGTAATAATTAAGTTACTTCTTTTATCTTCAATGTCTACTTTATTCACTTGAAAATAGTTCCACCGTAGTTTTCAGTTTATGAAAAATTTTTTGGGTACATATTTTAGTACAGCCTCGCTCTGCGATTTCGTCTTTATCTCATTTATTATTGAAAACATTAGTCTTACAGGGCCAATTTCACAGTCAGTTTTAAATTTGGTGGCTTACTTAATACTTAAGTAAGTATTAAGACTTGAGTTTCAACTATAAATCGGCTCTTAGTATCATTTTAAGATTAGAATAAAAACAATTTGCAATATGTGATGACTGGAGGATATGGTGGTTGTAGCATAACAGTTATATTACATTTCTTAAATCAGATTAATAAACAATCAAATAATTCTGAAATTTTGCAATAAATTTTGCTGCCACTAATTTCATGACCAAAGCATTTATAGAAACTATTGCCTGTTTCTCCAGCAACCGCACTAATGGTAATTCTACCTTAAGCAAGCACAATCTAAAAAATTTTTTTTATATTTTCCGCATTATTAGAACTCTCAGAGTTCTAGAACTTCCAGAACTGACATCATCTTCAATATCTTCGTGACCTTACTAAAAGCATTTGCATCAATTATAAGTTCTTGATTATACCTTATTATCGTTGCTAAAGGACTACTTTAACATGTTGAATAATCCGCTGCACCCGATTCCATTTAAATTTGTCACACGTTCGTTAAACTCAAAATAAACATCGCAGTTAGCTGTTGTTGTAGCCCGCAAGGATCCGCCTATGTAGTCTCTTTTGGGAGTGCTGAACGGCATTTGGGTGCCAAACTCGACGAGTGACTCCGAAATGTAGACATGGTCATTTTAGGAACCCAGATAGTTGTTACCCACTAACAGTGCAACCAATACACAAACAAAAAAATCTCAAACCGCAATCCAGCGCAATTTTAAACTTATGGTATTTTCTTGACAGCACCATATATAATATATATATATAAATATTAAAATGCAAAGCTTACTTATTTTATAAAAACTCTATCCATCACATCGTTTGAATTTGTCTGTAGGGTATAGAACTCAATGCTACGATCAAAGACAAATTAATGCGAAGGTTTTTATAGAAAATACATAAACGAAGTATTTAATAATTATGTTAAAGAATATGTAAGAGAAAAGTATACACTTCATTTACTGTACATATGAGACTATATGTGCATTACTGTTCACAAATTTGGTTCGATAAAATCTGCGGTTTGTGAATTAAACAACAGAAGATACAAAGGCAAGTGCAGATGTCGTTATAATAATTTCTTCTTTTTATTTTATTTGATAAATCATTGTATTGGGAAGGCAGCTGTTTTATATATTCAGAATAATTAAGATATAAAATGAAGATGTTGTTCAACGTATTAGTATCGAGAATTTTTAAGATTAAAAACAGCATTATATATATATATATATATATATAAACCATAAAAGAATGTTTCTACCTGTTGTATTTTATATATTTTAAATATCGTGTTTTCTTTTTAAAATAAATTGTAAATGTTTTCCTTTAAGTTGTCTTAACGTCTTTAAAGTGTTTTAAAAAAATATTTTATAATATAAAATAATTCAATGAAATTTTAATATTTTTTTAACAGGATTTATTTCAACAATAATAAGGACAAGTCATATTTTCTTAAAGTAAATTAAAAAGTAAGACAATCACTTAAAATCACTTATTACATTATATTAATAAACAAAATAATTTTTACGCAATAACGGTTTTGTACATAAATATAGCATTCATTCAATTAGATAATAGGTCAATAAGATTTATATACTGTCCCGCAGAAGAAGACAAGTTAATTATACTTTTTCGATACTTAACTTAGGCTAAAAGTAAGTTATAAGTTACTTAAGTAAATTTTTTATTTATTTTTACTATTCCAGTTTTGGAAATATGTATTAAAACTTGTCAGCACAATTATAAGTTAATTATATAAAAATTATCATAACAATGTTGTATAACAAAAGATTTAATTTTAAATTAATTTATAATTAATATTAATTATAATAGATTGTAAAACAAAATTAAAATGAATAAAACGAAAGTCTTATATGCAATTCTAATTTATATACAAATATTTATCATTAAAAATTAATATAGAGCAAGTACATTATGGAACAACTGATTATACAGCTCCATTTTTTACATTAACTACAAATTGTTCCACGTAGTAGACTTTATTTAAGTAATGAATCTAAACGATTCGGTGTTGTGGTAGTAGCAGATTTTGAAGATTGCTGCTTGAGTAAGGCGGCTAGTTGCAGCAAAGAGTTTTGCTGTTGGGTTTTGGATTGAATCTTCTGACCAACTGAAACTGTCGTTGTTATATTCTTTTTCTTTTTATTTTTGTTGGACTTCAATGTTTTGCTTAATTGAGCATTATTGCTCTTTGGAGTATTAGTATTGTTAACTGTTTTCAATGACTTCAATGTTTTGCTTAATAGAGCATTATTGCTCTTTGGAGTATTATTATTGTTTACTGTTTTGTTTTCTATATTTACAGTTCTTTTCTTCGTTTTTGTAGCAGTAATATTTGAATTGTGATGCTTATCTGTAGATATTTCTGACAGACGCTTACTCACGGATGGCTCAACAATTTTCAACCCAGCTGTGTTGTCCTTCTTTTTTGGCTTCTTTTTCTTTGGTTTCTTAATTTCTGCACTCTCTAAGTTATTATTCGGGACAGTTTTTGTTTTGTTAGCTTTTACCAATGGAATATGTGACGTTTTATGACAGAAGTTACAAAGTATATCCTATTATTTATTAATATCGTTTGATTATATTTATTATTTTAAAAATTTAAGTAAATTACTTACAACATTACTCGTGCACCGTTTTTGCAACCATTTTGCTCGCTTTTTTTGTTTCTTATTACGGAAAGGCTTTTCACCAGTTTTTGTTGCTTGTAGTTTTGATAGTAACTTTTTAGTTTTTCCATTCATATTTACTTTTTGTGGATGCAATTTCAGTTTGTAATCATTTTCACTCCAGTAACAAGAACAACGTGGACACATTTGCGAAACATTGAAATTTGCCACTTGTATTTCTGGCTGCAGTTTGACTATTTTTTTACTAGTAGTTCTGAAAAAGTACAAAATTTTATTTTAACATTTTTCTTTTATTATTTAATTATATCATCGCGACATTTTCTTACATGTAATGAGATTTTAATAAGAGCTTTGCATGTGAATCGCCATTTAATGTTGTGGCATAATTACACAGTAAATTTACTTTAAGTAAATCCTCGGTGGTCATTTTGAAACAAATATTTTAAATAAACAAATTTCAAAATATTTAAACTATCAAAAACATGCTAAAAAACCCACAAAGAAAATAAACATTCTTCTGTCATCTATAAGTTGAAAGTGTTAGAAAACGTATAAAAAAATTGTAAGCATTTACTTAAGGTCAAGTTTCAATGTTGCAAAATGTTTTCGATACAACATGTTCAAAGCAACACATTTCTTTTATGAATACCACATATTTGTGGAGAGTATTCAAACGATATAATTAAAGTTACTATTTATTTGATTTTACCGCCTTACCAGGCAACCAAGTTACTAAGATAACTAATATTTAAATATATATAAAATTTGTGTGCTATTCAGTAGAACATCTGATTCTAGTTATTGTTAAATATATTATAAAATTTGATTTGAACTAGATATTTGATATCAATTATAAATAATAAAAAATACATATAAAAGTTAGGTTAAGTTATACTGGCAGACCAAAAAGGGCATGCATAGTCTATTAAAGTCAATTCTGATACAAGATCATAGTCTTACGTTTTTAGCGATAGTGGGCATCGCTTAGAATGTGAATACATACAAAAACATAAACAAAAATAAAACAAACTCGGCTTTAATTTTATTGTTTTCATATTTCCTTGTTCAGACCATGCCCTTATTAAACAAAACACATATGAACGAAATCAGCTGATTTGAAAGCACATACAATTTCACAACTGAGTGCATAAGAAGCATATTTAAAGTTTAATTTAATTTAGAAAACTATATTTGTAAATTAGTTTTGTCGTACTTAACTAAATTAAAAGCGCTACTTTAATATTCATAAACCTAAAATTTAATAACTAAATAAATTGTAGTTTAATTATGTACTTAATGTGAAATTATTTAATTCTTAGTGTTATTGAAAATTGGCTATATATTAACTGATGTTAATTATATGTGAAATGTTCATATTTTATTGCTTGTTGTGTTAGTATATTGTAGTATATTGGAAATAGTAAAACTACAATAACAAAACACCTTAAAAACAGTAATAGAATTCTGTTAGATTTTATTTATTATTAAATCGAAAAACATATTTTATTAAGCTTGAAACACAAGCCTATTTCAATGTGATATAATTAAATTCTAAAACAATTATCTATATAAATAAAATTGGCAATTTAGTAACACGATTTATAGTTTTTGATTACATATTAAAATGATTCTTAAAGCCTTATGCTGCATAAGGAAAAGAGTATCACAGTAAATAAATAAGCAAAATAATTTTTCTGATATATATGCATTGGTTTATATTCACCATTTTCATTTCAAATTTATTTTTGGTATTTGTTTCTAATTCGTGTTACAGTTATAGTTTATTTATTTCGAATATAGTAAAAAATACACATCTGCTGAGTTCAATTACGTATTTTAAAATACAACTCTGTGTGGATTTGCTTTGTTTGCATTAAAATTCAGAAATTCAAATTTCAAGCAGTTATTGTCGCGTCGTTGTAAGTGCAAGAAGGCTGGTGTAAGAAAAAGAAAAGAAAGAAATAGGAGAATTTCTAAAAGTTAATTCAATTGAAAAATATACTTCAATTGTTCTTGTTATATTTGTTATAAAAAGTATTAATTGTTTAAAAAATATTATAATTTTAATATTTACAAAATAAAATGGATCCTTTCACTCAGGTAAGTAGCAGAAATAATTTCTGTTATAAAAAAAATTCATTTTATTAATGCGCAAAATAAATTTATTTAAAATTGAATATTTTTAATAAAAACAGCGCATGCTTGAGAAAGCGGAACAGCGCAGTCGTGCCCTTGGTATAAGTAATGCTAGTAAATATCCACTGGCAGATGCATCCTCGGACGTTAATGCCTCTAACGCATTAATGCCAAATCAGCATAAAACAAATCAAAAGGAACGAATACAAAAACAACCACAGCAGCCGCAGCAAAAAACTAGCGTAATATCTGCTTCAAGCATTGGCGGAAAAATAATTGAACGAATTCCTGCAGATGCTTCTAAAATTCTTCCAAACACCGTAGTAAACTTTTCCAATGTGAATAAGGAAAATGTAGATTTGGGAATAGAAATTAATATTATGACAAATAACGATGTAGAGGCAAGTATTGTTTTCACGCTAGGAAATTATATTCATATAGATATCGAACTTGAAAAGTTGATAAATAATGTATTTTACTATTACTTTAATGTATAGGTACAAGTTGAAGTAGAAGAACGGGATATAACAGATAGTGAAGAAGATTGTGAAGATAACAGTAAGCTACCAAAAGAAGCAATAAATCAACCTTTAGCCAAAATACGTGATACTTCACGTAATCGTTTGCAGAGGTTAGGTGCACTCTACTCGAACACTGATGATTTATCGTCTCCAATACATCGGACTGAAGCACAATTTCATGCTGGTTCCTCTGATGATGCATGTTTAAATGACAGCCCCTCGAAGTCGAAACAACGGCATGGTAGACTTGCAGCTTTAGCTAACTCTATAAACCAATGGGAAGATGATACACAGCATCATCATATAAGTACAATTCCACCACCAAAACCTGATTTACCTAGCAGAAAACTTGCAGACACAGCAAAAAATTGTCAAAAAATAACACAATCGCAGGCAACAGTACCAAACCAAACTACTGAAGAAGTAAAACAAAATGACTCCTGTGATCGTATTAGCAGCAGTAAAACTAAACAGCTTAATTGGGATCCCAAGGTTATAAATTCACTTGAAGCACAAGGTTTTCAGAGACGAGAATCCACAACAACTAAGCTAGCTTACGATTATACAAACAAAGAATGTAATGTGAACCGAGAGAGAGATCTCGATAAACCACAAAAAGAACAAACAAAGCTATGCACTAATCCAGTTAATAATAACATATCTAAAAACTTAAAAAATACAGTAAATGAAGAATTAGAGAAACCAAAATTGGCAAATGTCAAACCTGGTTTAGTATCAGGACGT